TAATAACATTCATTTGCTGGCTAATGGTTCATTTGCTCAGTCCCCTCTCATTCACCTATTCACTCTCACTCACTCGCTCACTCACTCATAAACTTATATATTAGCTTCAAACTCTACTTATTTTACATTATCCTCCCACATTTTTTTTAAAGCTTATTATGCCTATGCCTGCATAAAGGGCCTGCAGATGTGTGCGATCAGGTATGTGTTGTGAGAGCTGATGAGGGTTTCTTTTTTTCCTCTGATGATGCGAGTGAGTGGCTTTCAGTGATGGTGAGGATCAGCCAAGTCTCTGAGGAGAACTGCAGCTCAAAAGCAGAGTCTGCCCACTCCTTTATCTCATTTCCTGTTGAAGGCAGACGGGATACTGGCGAGGAACACAGGCCTCAGGGTCTGGTGAGTTGAGGGTGGTGTTGGGAGGAGAGGGTAGAAGAACGAGAGGGGCGAGGGCTGGCACAGGCCAGACGTGTGGAGAGCCCACCATCCCTAACTTTTATAATTCTCATCTGGCTGCATTTGGGCTTCTTTTCATCCCATGGAAGAAAGGCCAAAAACTTTAGTACTGAGATGTCTAGAAGATGTTAAAACTAATAGATGTTTACTGCTCACCTATTCAATGCAGGGGCCAGCAGGAGTTGTCACAGCAGAAGAAGCAAGGATGGAGAAGCAGGGATGAGGTTGGGCAAGTCCTTCAATTCTCTGAGCTGTATTATTTTTATCCTGTAGCCACAGGTGACAAATAAGGAATGGTACTAACATATCAAAAGAAATATAAGTGCTACTCTTCCAGGAACTTTCAGTTTGCTGGGAAGACAAATTATCTACATAAAAATGTGAAAACAAATATAAAGTTGCATAGGTAATTCTGCTGGTCCTTGATGAGGACAGTATTTGCATATAATCATTAAAAGAGAATTTAGTCTTTAACAAGTATTATATGTTCTCATTTTCTATTACTTAAATGTTAATGGATTTTTCTCCTTGAGAAAAGATGAAAAACAAATGTTTACTAAAAGACGTTACAAATTCCATTATATACAATGAGATCAGAACTCAGAATTGAACATCCCCCCACCAGTGTCTAGGTGTGTGTATTACGAGGTACATTATTCCCACAGAGACACAGCTCTGCCCACAGTAGTATAGTGTGGTGGAAAAGATATTGAATCAGAAGGCTGGAGCTCTCGGTTTCAGTTTTGACTCTTTTGCTAACCAACATCATAATTTGGGGATAGATAACTTAGATTCTGGGCCTTATTTTGGCTATAAAAGTGCTCTAAAAGTTACTTTAAAAATTAACCAAAAATATGAGAGCGCAAACAAAACTACTTTCTGTCAGCTCACCCTCTCTATAGGCTAAGTAAATTCTACTACAACTCTAAGGAGAGAAATAAACAAAATCAAAAAACTTATCCACTACTGCTTCAGCACATGGTCTTAGTTAAGTGCATACACTTTATCACTGCGCACCTGGATTGTATCCCATTCTCCTAAAAAATGAATATAAGTGGGGTCTTAACTGGATTTTCTCTTCATGATATAGAAGCTCTTGCATGTATAGTCGATCACATTACCGCTCGTTGCTAAAAGGAATGAACTTCAACAAACAGGTTTTAAAATTCACTTGCGATCATTTATGAAGTGTTTACTCTGTGCCAGGCGCATTATTAAGTATGAGAGAATCAGAGAAACATTATTTTCTAACATACCATGGTTTAGTGATGTAACATATAAACTGATACATTAGAAGATACTGTGGAAGTGTCTTGTTAACTGTATAATTCAAGAGCTGTGCTGGAAACCCGGGAGGAATAACATCTCTCCTGAGAGACTCTGAGAAGACGGTGTGGTAGAGGTGATGTTTGACCTGAGTTTTGAAAGGAGAGTGGAAATTTGCCAGGGGAAGAAGGGGAAGGCCATTTACAAGCAGAGGAAATAATATGGCTTGTGAAGGTACCTGGCATGTTTGAGAAATAGTGAATAGGGGTGTAGAGCTGCAGCCCGGGTTTTGTGGAAGGGAGGGTGGATGAGAGGACACTTAGGTTGGGGCTAGAGTGCAGGGAGCCTTGTTATGCAAGACTCAATGCGTAATCACCCCTGCAGATAATGAGAGGCACAGAGGTGTAATGCATGATGCATCGTGTGTGTCATGCTTTCAAAGTAACTGGAGGTCGTATGGAGGAATTGTGTAATTTGGGAATAGAGTAAGGAGAAACAGGTGAGGGAGAATAAACAGGAGATGGTAGTGGGAAGGGTTGACTTTGAGAAGCATTTTTGAAAGAGAATAGATAATATTTGATAAACACCAGATGTGGAGGCTGAGAGAGAGGAAGAAGCAGGGTATGACCTTGAAGTTGCTCAGTGTAAGGGAGATTAGGGAACTCGTGGTACTATTGAGAAGTGAGAACCCAGAAACAAGATGGGTTCTCTATTCCAGTGTGCCTCTGATTAAAAAGTGACCATGAACTTTGGCACAGGTGGTTGCTGACTATACAAGAAGAAAGAATGTCAGCAGCTGAGAATGTGGAGGAAGCCTACCCCAGAATAAAACCACTGATCTCTTAATTTCTATGCTTTTGGCTCAAGGTGTCATTCAACAAAATTTAAAAACTGTTATCTAAAATATATCTGATCTATGACAAACCTCTTTTTAAGCTATATTGTTGATCATTCCATTTATAAAAATGTAAAAAGTGGAACCTCTGGAGTCAGATTGTCTGGGCAAGTGACCTGAAACATGTCACCTGAACTTCTCTGTGCCTCAATTTGCTCCTTTGCAAAATAAATATAAGAATTCTTCATGAGGTTGTTGTAGAAATGAGTTAGCTTATGTAAAAGTGTACCTGGCACGTAGTGTAAGAATATTGTGTTTGCTATCATTATTAATAACTAATGGAATACTCGACTAAAAATGGTATAAAATAGAGATTTATTAAACAGCATTGGTGATGTTGTTTAACCAAGTCATCAAGGACCAGACTCTTCCCATACTCTACCTTGCCAAGCTCAGCTTGTTAGTCATTTCTCCCCTCACGGTGGCAGAAAGGCTGCAGTAGCTCCAAGTTATCAAGTACTTACGTGACCAGCATTACCAGCAATAATGGGTTGGGAGCAAGAAGGGCTTTCTTCCTTGTATAGCCTTCACGTATCGAGGAGAATCTTTCCTAGAAGCCCTAAGTAGGTTATCTTTCAGCCAGAAATGGGTCACAGGCCCATTGCTAAGTGCAAGGGCTGAGAAAGAACCTGACCCTTCCAACCTATAACAAATGAGGCAAAAGTGGAGCTGAGGGTGGCTGTTGTGTGGTTAACCTGTAGTGCCCACCACGATCTGGGAACACAAAAGTTTCAAGGATGCCTCAGTTGGCCCAGGGGTAATTGAGAAACAAGAAGGTAGCAGTATTCATCCAGAGGGAATCAGCCATAGGCTCTATTTTAAGGGGTCATTAGCTTTTTTAAGAATAGCTTTTTAAACTAGTATGAGTATCTTGGTGAAATATGGAGAGAGGATATTTTTGAGTGGGTGTGTGTGTTGGGGGGGGAGAGGGCACTACAGTAGTCTTCTCAGTTGTCCTAAGCTCTCACCTTCCCTTCCCACAAACCAAAGGAGGGGACTCATAATTCAGAGCACCCTGTCTAAAAGGTTGGCTAGGCTAGTCACTGTTAAAGTTATTTAAAAGAAAGCTAATACAGGCTAATACAGGTTTCTTCCCCGATTGCGCGTTGCAGCAGTTTCACCCACTGTGGCAGGGGTAATAAGCAAGGAGGGCAGTGTGAGAATTGCTACTCTTCTTCTTAGAAGTAGGTCTTAAATCCAGCGGTTTCTTTGCAACCTGCATCCATGCCCACAGTCACGGCCAGAGCATCTCTCATCGGTACTGCTACGGCCTCTGGTCTGGGGCTTCCCATCAAGTATCTCCATCACAGAAAGACTGTGTGCAGTAAGGCGGACAGAGAGCTAAAAGAGAACCAGAAGAAAGCTTTTATAAACATCCACAGAAAGTCTTTTTTCCATGATCCCATTCTGTTGAGAGGGAGAAATTTTGAAATTCTGAGGCACTTAGTTACTAATCTGATTCTGGCCTACATGTGGCTATTCAATAAATACTTGTTAAATTAAATTGATTCAAGGTTTTATTTATTCAACCTACTTAAAGCTTATATAAACCCCTTGGAGATTTGTGTCAAGCTGTTAAATTGGAAAATATATGAAAAGTAATTATTTTCAATAGAACAGCTTTCCTCTTAAGGAGCTTTATGAGCTTAGTATAAACCAGAGGGAATAGGGAGGGGTTCCAGGAGAGGGGATGGGAAGCAGGAGGTGAGGAGAAAAGCCTCTTTCTATCATTTCCTACACTTGTCTTCCTTGCTACACTTATTAACCAACTACTGCCCTCTAGTGCTCACTGTATAAAACTCTCACCGGAATTCTATTTTATCACTAGGAAGGGACCACATCTAGTTTTGCAGGTAAGTAAGCAACTTAAGTCCAGACAACTGAGGCGTCAGACTGACCCAGGTGGCCTCCTGGATTCTTAGTTTCTCATTATAATTTGGCTGGCAAACTTTGCATATTAAAAGCATTTCTCAGACATTTTAATAACTAATCAATGTTACAGCACACTAATCACTTAATAATAATTTTAAGTGCTATTATTTACAATGCTATTCCAAACAAAGGCAAAAATGATATTGTTACATTCTTAAATTTAGTAAAGTTTAGAAAATACATATATATATATTTTTTTTTTTTAAGTTAACTAGAACAGATCTAAAGTAGATTTGGCCATTTTTCAGAACTGACTTGTCACTGTCTCCATGTAGGCTAATATTCTGCTAGAGTTCTCCCAAAGGATCCTATTTGCTCATTGATGGGAAAGGGGGGGTATCGTTTTAACTTAGAACACATACTTTCTTCATTTAATCATTTTGCTGGTGGGAATAAAATGAAAGTTATCCAGCTGGACATATGACTTCCAAAAACATAACTGTGTAACAAAAGATTTATTCAAATATTTAATTGAAAGGAAATACATCTGGAATAAGTTTTATTGGAATTCATATAAAAAGGAAAGTAAATCCATTAGAATTAATATCATAAATAGTTGACTTTATCTAGAACCAGAAATATTAACAAATTGCAGCCTAGAAGTCCTAACCTTTTTTTTTTTGCAAAAAGCCACTCATTTTCCAATTTATATGGCAATTAGCCCTTTATTACTTTAGGCAGAGCTCTGTTTTCAGCTAATATTTCAGAGACAGATCACTCAAATTACCTAACTTGTTTTCCTCCTCCCCCCACCTCTGCTTCTCTTCAAAACAAAAGCAAAAAGAAAGTGGTAGGAGGCAATTATTTGTCTGTCTTCGAAAACTTCAAAAATCCTAAGATCAGCGAATCAGCAGAATCACTACATTTGGGCTACTAGAAACTACATAAATTAAGAGACATCTAGTTTCGTTCTTAGATGTCAACATAGATCCCATTGATCAAATAATCAAGTCTCGAGTAACGTTTCCTGCGAAGAGATTCCAGGAGCATTCTACTCGAGAGGGCAAGGCCTACCACAAGGAACAGAACCCCGAAGAGCAACATCCCAATGAGGAGCCACTTGTCAAACGGAAGGCCGTGTTGCCTTTCCGGAAGACTGTGCTGGGAGGAACTGCCTGAACTGGTCTCCTGGTTTTCCTGAGAAGCAGTTTTATTTGAAGCAGAAGAACCCACTTTTGGTAAAAGAACTGTAGCGGGGTTATGGGTGGTCTCCGTGTTCAAAGTTAGGTTGAAAATTTCTCTAAAGGGCCCTGTTCCTGGTGGGTCTTTCCAGTCTGTAGGTGCCTGAAAGATGGTAGTTGGAACTGCTGTTTTAGTCATGTGAGCTTGGGGTGTAATCACAGGACGTGTCAGAATTGCAGAAATGACTGTGGGAGACTGAGAAGTGACTGTCGCTGCAGGCTGAGCTGTAGTGGCCACCTGTGGTTGAGAAGTCACAGAAGTTATCGCAAGAGCATTGGCGGAGAGGACCACAGGCTTTGCGGTGACAGAGATGGTGTGTAGCGAGGCAACAGCCGCTGTAGTGGGGAATGTTGTCACATTTTCAGGCAGCAGATGAGCTATTTTCTGTTCTGAGGAAAACTGTGAACTATGAGAATGGCTTTTTTCTTTATAAACAGAGAACCGTGCACTCGCTGGATCAATCTTGAATAGTTTTTCCAAGTGATCTGAGGATCCAAACTTCTGAGAATTGGTGTCTGTCCATAAGAAATCCGTGGGCTTTGAATAGCCTGTTCGACGAGGGGTTAGGGGAGTGGTTGTTTGTGAAGACTGGCCGTGGAAGACAGAATCTTCTTTGGCTAACTCTTGGCTTGGCAAATCAGGTTTGGCCAATGATGGAAAATCTGGAAATGTTAAGAAAATAAAAGGGAGACTTAAATACATGAGGTAGGGTAAAAAAAAAAAGGCAAACATATCGACTTGTTCAATAAGTCCCCACACTGTTGATACTTGACATTTCATTACAACTTGTGTGAAATGGAAAAATACAAATTGCTAAATCAGAACCCGAAGACACTGCCTCTCCACCAGATGCTGTGTTTTATTTCTAGAGTGATGGGACAGAGGAGAAGAAAAATGTGTGGAGGATCAGGCAAATTAAGAAAGAGGTGCGAGAAACAGGGATACTAAGAAGAGCTTAGCATGAGCAGCAAGAGGTTTAGGAAGATGGAGCCGCTTAAGGGGCCAAGGCCAGGGAAGAAAGCTGAGCCAGGGTGATGTGGCAGGATGAGAGAATGCCTGTGTGAGGCCTGAGCTCCTGCAGGCTGTGCCAGCTGGGATGTGATGACAACTGGGCAGCAAGCAATCTATCCCTAGGAGAGATTAACGGTGGGGGTAGGGGACAGGCAAGAAAAGTATGCGGAGGCCATGGGATAATATGAAGAGGAGGCAGAATCCTGGTGATTTGCTTTGGCAAGGGAGGAGGAGGAGGAAGCCGGCAGGATCTGGTCTCCTCCAAAGGCACTGAGGCCAAGGCAGCAGCAGAAGGCTGATGACATTTTTCAATTTAAAAGAAAAAAAACAAACAAACAAAACAGTTTCAGCACCCCAGGGGAGGGAGGCAATCTAAGAGATTCAATTTTTACTCTCAAAGATTAAAATTTTAGAGTCAATGTCTTAGGTTCTAAGACTAATGGGGCCCAAATTTGAAATCATGATGGCCACACTGTTGCCATAAAGAACAGAATATCACACAGACCTGATTCCTACTGAGAAGGAACCAGCCTCAAATTTTCCTCATGCGTGAGAAGGTTTAGCATTTTGCTCTTAGTCACACATGCCATTTATCACAGCCCAAACTGCAAAGGCTTGTTAAAGCAATCGGGCAGGGAATGATCATCTGAACCACTCTGCTACTTTACCAATCATTTCACTTTGATGAGAACTGCAGGAAACACATGAAGGAAGCAAAGGAACTTCCTAGCATTTACTGATTAACTCTTATGCTCTTTCTCCTTTTTTTCTTCAACTCATCTCAATGCCAGTTTCTAAAGAAAACCTCACTCTTCTAGTTCCGAACAAACAAATCCAGAGGCAACTTCAGATTTGTGATATCTTTGACTACTCTCTAAGCTTCACACTTCTAAGAGGTCCTGGAAAATAGTCACTTCTTAATCTACCTAGAATAGGGGTCCGCAAACTGCGGTCTGAGGGCCAAATTTGGCCTGCCACCTGTCTTTGTATGGCTTGGGTGATAAGAATGATTTCTATATTTCTTAGTGGTTAAAAAAAAAAAAAGAATATTTTGTGACACATGAAATTTAAATTTCAATGTCCATAAAGTTTTATTGGCACACAACCATGCTCATTGGTTTATATACTGTCTATCACTGTTTTCGTACGACAAAGGCAGAGGTAAGTACAGCAGATTGTGTATGACTCACAAAGTCTAAAACATTGGCCTAAAAATCCTAAGATACTTATTTGGCCCTTGACCAAAAAAGTTTGTGGACACCCACTCAAGGATATAGCACTTTACTCTAAAGTAGAATTTAGTTGCCTAGAATTCCTCTTTCTAGCAACAATGCTGAAGAAGAGAGTTTCTGCTGCAGGTGATATTACATTCATAGACAAAGTATCTCATTATCATGAGATAAACAGCATCTCTATTTTTAGGTAAGATTAGATATTTAAAAAAGAAAAGACTCAACATATTTCATTTTAAAGTTTTTAAAAAAAGACTGTTTAAATAAATGCACTGTGATGGGTGTGAACTCAGAACTTAAATAAGGCCATTGATAAGAATGATGAAAACAGCTGTTTTCTTTCTCAAGAATGCAAGCTCATAAATAAAGCAAAGAAAAGGCTAGTCCCATTTCCTGATAAGATTCATCTATTGGCAAAGATCCTAGAACCACGCAGGGATCCTGCACACCTGCTCCACCGACCTCGCCCACTGATGTTTGCCACTGGGGTGTGGTGCTTTCTCTCGGTCACGCAGAGATGAGCCACAGAGGGAGCTAGGAAACAGCCCTGCACCCTCAAGCCCTCTCTTGTGTTTCATTCCCAAGTGACTTCACTGAGTAAAAAACTTAGGAACTATTACTTGGAAACCAGCTGAGCAAACAGACACCCAATTTATTCTACTTTGGAATTCCCCTATCCTATTCCTTGGTAGAAAGGATATCCCACAAGCTGAAAAAAAATTTAGATAACTCCAAGCTGCAACAGAGTACACTGTCATCTTTCAAACTTCGGTCTGTAAATATTAGTCAGTTATAGGAAATAGAGTTCATCCAGAAACACATCATCAGATATTTAATTTCACTTTAAACAGGAGGCAGATAATTTACTTTTATGGGGTAATTTCAATCCACCAGCATGGGCAGATTCATAAATAGACTTGCTACACACAGCTTGTAAACATCCTGTAGATGTAAATAGGCCAGAGTTGCTGCCACTTTGCACCTAGCTATCAATTAACCATTCTGGGCTGATGACACCCTCTGGTGGCTGCCAGAGGAACTGTTTGATTCTAATTCCACTTCATTACCTTAAGACTAGCCCTCAAAAGGTTTATTACGCATGTGCCAAGTTCCCTTTCTCTCATTTCCATTGGAGATGAAGTTTCACTTGCTAGCCTGCCACTCACCTCCTGCTGTGTGGCTGGGCTCCTATCAGGCCACGGACCACTACTGGTCCATGGCCTGGGGTTTGGGGAGCCCTGAGGATGACAGACATAGAGGATACACACTGACAGTGGAAGAGAAAACAGAATGAAGAGGTAGTATGAAAGGATAACAGGGGGAGGATGTGATGGCCCAACTTCCACCTGATGAGAGAAGAACAAATGTTCCAATCGGTGTCTTGAGCCCTGATTTCTTTGGAAACTCAGATTGGCGTAACCAGTTCCTGCTGGACACCATCCCTGGGTGTCTAACAGGCTCTGCAATGTTCCAGGTGATCAAAAGAGGAACAGCAAAAAGCCATATCCACACCACACTGCAGGTCCCCAGTGTTTCTAGCCAAGATTATATACATACCGGCAGGAGAAACGAAGGAGCCACACTGATCAGTGGCAGTCACCTGGAGGGGGCCAAGACACTGTCCATGCGAGGTCAGGTCTTGAGTGTTTTGAGAAGCCTAATTTGTCCTATGCCAAAGTCTTTTAAAAATTATTTTTAAAAATAATCTTTTATTTTTAAATAATTGTGGTAGAATATATGTATAATTTACCACTTTAACCCTTTTTAGGTGTACAGTTCAATGACATTGAGCGTATTCATATTGTTATGCGACCACGACCATCATTCATCTCCAGAAGTTTTTTCATCTTGCAAAACTGAAACTTTGTACTTATGTGCCAGTCTTTTTATACTTGGACTCACAACACTATGTAGGAAAAATTTACACAAATAATCTGTTTAAGGGAATGTTTAATACATCAAGTTTTCTTGGTGGTTCATAAAGAAAACTCAGACACAGCCTCACCCAGGAGACAAAGTAGAGTCAGTGCCCAGGTGCCCTGAGCAGTATCAGTCCCCAAAGGACTTCACACATACCATAGCATAAAATGGTCAAGATAGAACTGTTGCCTTAACTCTCCTCCCCAACC